GGAGAGCTTTGATATGGCCTGAAAGCTCTTGTGCTGTCCACCCAGACACTTGCTTTGGATCCACTGCTTCTCTGTGGGAGAGAGATGGATAATCAACGCCCATGCGATTTACTCCCTCTGGAAATGTGCTATAAGGACCTTTAATTGTTGCTCTGATGGCACATGGCACAACACTACCTCTAATAAGGGAGCCCTGGTAGCTGTCATAGGGAGCTGTGTTGCCAATCCAACGTCTTCAGAACTGCCTAAACGTCTTCCTTCATCCCCATTGGCTCTTGCTCTTGAATATTTCTGTGTTTGCCTATTAATTTTGGTTTACTGACTCTGTGCATTCCTTCCATCTTCTTTTGATCTTTCCTGAGTCATTCAAATTTTTTTTCATAGCATCTCTCAGAATGGCCAAGTGAATTCTTCCCATTTTATTCTCCACATTCAGCTTTTTGCACATTGCTTTGTAATACTTTGCTTTGTTTTCTTGAGCTGCCCTTTGAAATCTTCTGTTTAAATCTTTTACTTCAGCATCTCTTCCTTTTGTATTAGCTTCCAAAATTTCCAGGGTAACTGTTGATGCCCATTTTGGTTTTTTATGTCCTTATAACACAATTTTTGCTTTCTTCATGGTCTTTATTAATGTTCAATGCCTCAATTATATCCTGGAGTTAATTTTCAAGTTCAAATGGGACAAACATAAAGTTGTGTTTTGGTTCTTTTTTTAAAATTGAGGTTTTAATGAAAGGTTATAGAGAACATAGATTTTCATTAATTCATTGTTCCACTTTTTTCTCCCTTCTCATCCATCTGCTTCAGGTCGCTTTTTACTGGGGGAGGGGGGATCTTTCTTTGTTATACAATTTCACCCCCACCCCAATCAACTTTACTATGCAGCTCTTATTCTGGGCTCTTGTCATGTAAATAATACCTAATCATATATTCAGTTTAAGCAGTTTTCTCCCTCATCTATTTCAATGCACTGTGCATTACTATTCATCCCCTCTTTTCTTAGTTTCCTCCAACCACCATGTCATTCCTGTTTCATAACAGTGGCATTATGAAGTATTTTTCCTTGTGTGGCTGAGATATTTCACTCAGCATAGTGTCCTTCAGGGTCAGCCATTTTATAGAATATTTCATGAATTCTTTGGTTTTTAATGTTGTATAATATTCCATTATGTGAATATACCACAGGTTCTCTATAGATTCATTTTTTGATGGGCACTTGAGTTGTTTCCAACTCTTTTCTTTGTGAACAAAGCCACAATAAACATGGGTGTTCATATATTTGCTTGGGTGGCAGTTATTGTTTCTTTGGGGTATATTCCCAATAGTGGAATTGTTGGGTCAAATGATACCTCTATTTGCAACTTTTTAAGGAAGCACCATACAGCCTTCCATAGTGCTTGCACCATTTTAAAATCCCACCAACAGTCAATAAGGATTCCAGCTTCTCCACAACCTTGCCAGCATTTGTTGTTTGATGCTCTGTTGAATTGTGTTATTCTTAGTGGGGTGAGATGATATCTAATAGTTGTTTTGATTTGCATCTCTCTTAGAGCTAAGGATTTTGCACATTTCTTCATGTGTTTGTTTGCCATCTGAATGTCTTCTTTGATGAAGTGTCTGTTCATATCCTGTCTCCATTTTGCACTGGGTTGTTTATCTTGTTGTGTTGCTCGAGAATTCTATAACTTTTTTATATAAGTCCCTTATCAGACATGTCATTATTGTTGTTGTATGTGCCATCGAGTCACTTGCGACTCATAGCGACCCTATGTACAACAGCTCTAAACTCTGCTCTGTCCTGTGCCAATCTCACTGTCTCCAACATACTCATCCCGATTACCCTAGTCACCGAAACAATCCATCTCCCAGAGGGCCTTCCCCTCCTGTGCCTGCCCTCCAGCCTCCCAAGCATGATGACCCTCTCCAAGGACCGATCCCTCCGTACAACATGACCAAAACATGTAAGACAAAGCCTCAGAATCCTTGCCTCCAAGGAGCAGCCTAGTTTAACCCTCTCCAGAATGAATCTGTTTGTTTTCCTAGCAGTCCATGGCACCCTCAGCACTCTTCTCCAACACCAAAGCTCAAAGGCATCAATTCTCCTTCTATC